ATTATCCTTCTGCGTGTTTCATATGACTGACAAAAAAGATACATGTTTTTAAAACAGTGTATTGAATTTACTATTATCACAAGAAGTGAACAGGTTCTCAAAACTGTAACGGCAGCTAATCTCTGTCCCCATTTGTTACTGTGGGATAAAACCCAGAAAATCAGGTTCCCATCCCAGCCAACTGTCAAAGAAATATTCTTTGCAGAAAGAAGAAAGATTCTCATGTTATAAACATGCATCACAAAGAAGAAATGGAAGTTTGCTGATATTTCAGTAGTGTTAGATGTACCCAAATGAGCATCAAATGCATTCTCTATTTGTTCCAACACTTATTTTATTTGAAAAATTGGGGACCATTTAATAAAATAGAGGGCCTATATTCCACACAGCACATTGTTTGGAATTTACGAAGCATAACAAAAACAGAATCAGGTGTCCCATTCCCTATGAAATTCAGATTATTTTGAAAATGTGACCCAGTGTTTTTAATAAACAATAAATATTATAGCTCTGATCCCCAAGAGTGTTACTCACATGCTTAACTTTATGCACTGACTAGTCCCGCTCATGTGAAAACTTGTGAAGATTCCTTTTCTGAAATGATTTCAGCCTATATAAGTGGAATTTTGAACAAGTAGGTGTGTTTGTGTTTATTATATGATGTATCATTTTTCTTTTTTAAGAAGGCAATTGGCTCCGGCCCCTTCGACTTCCCTCCTTTCTCAAAAGAAATTCCCTTTAGTATCAATGGGAAATTTGGAAAAGTAAGGATTGCAACTTAAAAGATTAAGTTGTAAGCAACTCTCTGCTAATAACTTTATGTTCTCATTTCCTAATAAATCTCTAACATGCCATGAACTCCTTATTGTTTTGGCAGATACGGACAAACACGGCTACCCCTCTGAGACTATTTATTGTGTGTTTTTGCAATCTGCATACCACTTATGGATAAACATAAGTAAATAATACTGGGGTACTATTTGAGAACAAAATCCAGGCACAACACCTGGTATAATTTACACCCAAGAGAGAAAAGCATTATTACTACATTTGTCTGTTATTAGCCTATTATTTATTATTACATTGTCATGAGTGTTAATAAATTATTACATTCATAAAAATTTAGCCAGTGTAAGAATTCTTGCATTCAGATAAATTATTAAACTGAATTTGACAGAGTATGCCATTATGCCCATATTATTGCAATATATGCACAATTGAGAGCCATTTAATTCAATCCGAAATGGAGACAATTACAATTATTTATCAAGGTGAGATTACACTGACATTTTCAAATGCTGTGTATTAATATTAATTGGGTAGCTTTTAAATTGTATATAAACATCCTTCATTTCACTGAGAAGGGGATCTGTTTGACATTTGAGATATAATGTTGGACTCATAATTTCTGAGACCTAATGAATTGATGTGACCTAATGAAATGGTGTTCAGGGATTTTGGCCAGTTGATCTCTCTGGTCACAGACCCATTGGCTATTCCATGCTCTCGCCTCTTCTCTACCTCTGGTCCCTAGTGCTCTGTGGCTTACCCCCTTTCTGCACTGGACAGAAATGTGGATGTTCTGCTTGTCCGGGGTACTGATCCTACAAAAAAGAAGAGTCCAGTTTTGACCCAGAGTCAGCCAAAAAAATTGTGTGTCAATCATTAATAGTCAGGATGATCATTCCTCTGTTTTATACTGAATTCTCTACATTATCTTCATAGTTAGATAGTAAAGGCATTCTTTCATTCTACTGTAGATTGCATATCACATTTTCCATTGTTATCCTTTTTGAATAAATTGCATTCTGTATTCTATTATCGTAAGAAACTTTTTCTCTATGCTACTATAGAACTTATTTGAAAGAATGAGCTTTGTGCCAGAGCCGAAGACTTTTATATCATTGTTCTCTCTGCATTCAGGTGCTTTGCAATAACTCATAGGCCAGATGTTTAGCTGCTGGAAATCAGATGGGCTCCACTGAGGATCTGGCCCATATAGCTTCATAATTTTATCTGCAATTGTGAATAGAACATAAGTTCATAGAATCACCTTAATATAGTAGACTTGAGATTTAAGTGACTTGGCCAGCTGCTTGGGGTGAGCCACACTGGCCACTGCAGAAGTAGGGAGGTCATAGATAGACACTGAATCCATGACTTCTGCACCTTCCATTAAAGACACAGCACCCTAGTGATCACTAGATGCACTTTATCGGACACACTTATTCCTATATCATGCTCATTGACATCTGTAAGCTTGGTTCTGTTTCCAAATTTGTTTTCTCATCTACTTGTCTCAGCAG